TCTTAGGTTCTAATTCAGCCACTCCTTCAGAGACCAAGGTCAGCAACAGGTCATGTTACGGAACTGTACAGTGCTGTTTTACTGAATGCTGATGTATATGCTACTAACTCCCAAACCATCATGCTTCAACAAGTTATTAGAACAACTGGTAGTTTCTTATTCCATAGCTATTTTTGGAAAAGGCCTTCACCAAAAACTTTTAAATCCTACCTTCTGGCTTTGTGTTTACAGGGTGTTAACAAAGACTCCTATCTGATCCTGGAGACCTTACCAACTGAATACGACTCTCGGGTGAAAGCAATGGAAGTAGATGAGAGACCTACAGAGCAATACAGTGACATTGGGGGGCTGGATAAACAGATCCAAGAGGTGATAGCCTATGTTTAGTTGCCTGCTCCTCCACAGATTTCCCATATCACCTGTGGCAAGACACGTCGTCTCTGGGCCTCAGTTCCTCAGTGTGTAATGAGTGCAAAAACTCTAATGAGTGCAATATTACTTTCCTACTTACATGATTTTTTTTTTTTGTGGGGAAACAGTCTCAGTACTTCACAGTTTTTGCCCTGTAGTATCAGAGATGATATTCTCCAGACTCCAGTCTGAGAACAGCATAATGCCTTTCATTTTAGTTCTGAATTGAGGCAGTATCTGGGTCTGGGAGATGGGTAGAGGATTTGGACCTCTAGGGATGGATTGAAAGCAGGGATGTACAATCACAGTGGGCTTTGTCATACTATTTCCATCTCTGCAGCTGGTGGAGGCCATTGTTTTACCAATGAATCACAAAGAGAAGTTTGAAAATCTGGGTATCCAGCCGCCCAAAGGAGTGCTCATGTATGGGCCCCCAGGAACTGGAAAGACTCTCCTAGCTAGAGCATGTGCTGCCCAGACAAAGGTAAGAGGGACTGGGTGAAGCAACCTGTTCTGCCAGTTTTATTCCAGGAACAGAACTTAAGGCAGGGGTTGTAACTGCTGTGAAGAGAGTACAGCCTCTACAATCTTTGTGTCAAAGATGCTGTCAAAAGAGTCATGGTCTAAGCTGTTTCTCTTCTCTGCCCTCAAGGCCACCTTTCTGAAGCTAGCTGGCCCACAGCTGGTGCAGATGTTCATTGGAGATGGAGCCAAGCTGGTTCGAGATGCCTTTGCACTGGCCAAAGAGAAGGCTCCTTCCATCATCTTCATTGACGAGCTGGATGCCATTGGCACCAAGAGGTGAGAGAGAGCTTGTGCTCCAAGAACTGAAGTGAATTTCCAGAATTCTTGCAGTGGACAAGAACTGCTTAGCAGGGGTCTACCTGGAGACACTTAACCTAGTTTAGTACAAGGGCTCTTTTGAGGCATGTGCATCTTGTGTGAGGAGAATCTGATCACCTGTCTGCTGGCTCAGTCAGACAGTTACTGTGTCTAACCAGCGACTGGGATTCATTTTCTTACCTATAAATTACAGTTCAACCTTTGTACGAGTCCAGTCTGCAAGAAATGCCCACATCAGGCACCTCTTATAGTTGTTAACTCACCTACTGTACAGGAAGAGAGAACTTTTTATGAGACTCGGATGACATTAGGTCTCCAGTTACCCATTGGGATGTAGTTTACTGAGGCGTATACATGCTGCAGCTGTAGGTGAGAGGATTCAGGGGTTCACAGATTCTAATCCGATGTAAAAGAATATGGAAAAATGAAAGTCCATAGTAGGAGAGAACAAGATAGTTTGAGAAGTTATGGGTATGAACAGTTTTGACAGACTTTCCCTTGTTCTGTCCCAGGTTTGACAGTGAGAAGGCTGGCGATCGGGAGGTACAGAGGACTATGCTAGAGCTCCTGAACCAGCTTGATGGTTTCCAACCTAACACACAAGTCAAGGTAACTCCAGGGCTGCCTCCAGCAAGGACACTTTAACAGCTCCAGTGGAGCTCCATCAAATGAGAGCTGCAAGCCCTATGCAAGGGAGTTCCAGGAGTCTGAGAAATATTCTTGCTCCTTATCAGGTAATAGCTGCAACCAACCGTGTGGATATCCTGGACCCTGCTTTGCTTCGCTCTGGACGGTTAGATCGCAAAATTGAGTTCCCGATGCCCAATGAGGAGGCCAGAGCTAGGATTATGCAGATCCATTCACGCAAGATGAATGTCAGGTATGGAAAAGGATGAGCCCAGCTTCTTTAAGGAGTGACCTCCTGAGTCATAGCTGTGGTGCACTGCAGTAAGAGTATCACAAGATGCAAGTCCAGGGCTGTTGGCTCCCCTTCCCCATGGGTAGGACAAGATGCTGCATGCCCTAAGGAGGCTGTGCATCTTTGTCTTCCTGTGGAGCCTGTGTTCTCACCTGTTCCTTACTTCCTGCAGCCCTGATGTGAATTATGAGGAGTTGGCTCGTTGCACAGATGACTTCAATGGAGCACAGTGCAAGGCTGTGTGTGTGGAAGCAGTGAGTATTCTTGGGTAGTCTGCTGGCTGCCCACAATGCCCTGCAACAGCATAAGTTGAGAAAAAGGGTGATGGGTAGTTAGCATGCGGGTTAGAACAGAGCGACTCAAATGGGAAAACTAGTGCTGCCACAGTGCTTGCATTCCCTAACTACTCTTTTTTGTTGGGGCAGGGGATGATTGCTCTCCGGCGTGGAGCCACAGAGCTCACCCACGAGGACTACATGGAGGGAATCCTGGAGGTTCAGGCCAAGAAAAAAGCCAATCTGCAGTACTATGCCTGATCACTCAACTGCAGTCAGGGCAGTGATTGTGGCCTGGCCAGAGACAAGAGGACTGGACTTGTACAAGTTGTTTTACATGTCAGGAAAAAATAAAGCTTTTTTCCTCTAAAATCATACATCCTTGCCCTGATGAGGATGTTACTGCTGGTGAGTGGTGGCACAGCTCCAAGAGGACCCCCCCCCCGTCCTTAGTCTGGCTTCTGCCGAGACAGGATTCAGCATCTTGTGGACAGTAAGTAATGGAGAATAGTATTTGCTGAAATAATCACCGTGCTGTAGGCAAAGGTAGCAAGGTCCCCAACAGATCTGCCCCCTTTCACCTGTGTGGCTAATGCAATATGTTGTAGCTATTTGATTTCAGGTGGTTCTCAGCAGCCTTTGAGTAGGAAGTTCCGCTCATCTTGCAAGGGAGAGGCAAAGAGAGGTGGCTACAAGGGAAGAGTAGTGCCTAGTAGATGACACACAAGTGCTCCCTCTAGTGAATGTTGTGTATGACTGAGGGAATGGTGATTACTTCTGGAAGAAGAGGTGGCAGAAATCAGACTAGTAATTAGAGGGTCAGTGCTCATAGCCTAGTCCAGTAAACAAGCCTTTCAGTACTTTAATGCCAGTTGAGAATCACAACTTCCATTGAAAAATGATACTTTTCATCCATACACTGACTTTAGCACTGAAGATCTTACATGTCACTGAACTGTATCAGAAATACAATGTGAACAGCCTCATCAAATGCTGGCCACTGTCTGCATCTGTGCAGCTTTTGGGAGCTGGGAGAGACGTGGGAGGGGATGTAAGGGAAAAAGATAGCTGGAAGAAAACTACACCCTCCAGTACCTTGGCTAACATGTCTAAGTTAGCCCTAAGACTCATGCTGGTTACAAACTGCTTACCCCACCTGCCTGTTCAGAGAAGGAGCTTACTCTATTTTTGCTGGTTGCAGCAGAACACAGTAGCAAAAGGGGCTGTGTATTAGACATTAGTGTGTACAGAGGAAGAGTAATGGGATGAATAAGCCAAGCCTCACAAATCCTCTAGCACCTCAGGTTTCTGTATGTTCACCATTATGGCTGAACTGTACCTCCATCAGAGCTCAGACAGGAGCACCCACCCCCTCCATTTCTTTCTGCAGGGAAGGAAGCTCTTTCCTCATGAACAGGAGTCACTCAAGTAAATGAACCTGATCGCAGCAGCTCAAACCTGTCGTTCACTGGCTTTGTTCTTGTAACACAGCTAGAGCTCTGCCTTATGGGGAATATTTTCAGGGTAAATAACAGTGATAGTCACAGCTTACTCTTCCTTAGTGCCTTTTTGTACCCCCTGAAGTGAGCTCTGTACATTCATATATAGCTTACCCACTGCTTGCACAGCTTAGGGCATACTCATTTGGCTAAATAAATTACTTGAGTTCTACTCTGGGCAGATGAAGACCAATTTTTGCTGCATCTTCTATAGCATGCTCCTCTTAGAAACAACTTCAAAAGTGGCACAGTGTAATTTTCTGCTGTAGATGAATCAGTGCAGGATGGATTATTTATTCTACCTAGACTGCAAAGTTTCTTGGGGAAGTGAAGACCTGAGTCAAGGATGTTTAGCTGCAGACAGGTCAGCCACATATTTTGTCCTAGCTGTCCACAGATTTGGTCAGTATTACACAGACCTGGAGCAATGCACCAAGGGACAACATCCCTTACAACTAAACACGAACAGGACAAAGGGGGTGCAAACAGGACTTGGAAAACCTTTGGGATTAATCCCTCATGTATAAAAGCAAAATTGTTCCCCTTACAACACCAAGGAGCAATTCAACAAGAATTTACAACCTGGGTTCTTTGTAGCACCAGTGTCCAACACAGAAGTTCCGTAGTAGAACCACAAGGCAGGCTTATGCCAAGGCT